AGTGTCTCATTGTGCCCTTGCCTGGCGGCAGCGGGGCGTTCGCAGCCCTGGAATGCCATTGCGGGTCGGACCTGGCGGAGTATAAAGGGAAGAGCAGAGAAGAGAGCGAGTGACCAGGCCAACTTGTCAAAATTGTCAAGGCTGGCTGTCTTCGATTGAAATGACAAAACTTTCGCGCGCCGGTCGTCCATTCTAATAAGCAGTCTGGGGCATTCTCTTTTTCCGGCCTCGACCGCCCCACTCCGCCGCCACGCCGCCGCCGCGAGGGACGACTCGAATTGGCTGCGCTCTGTCAAATCAAGAGGGGGTGCCACCCGGCCGCCGCGGCCCCCGGCCCCGACGCGCATATTATCGCCTGGAATGTCTCAGGGCGGCATTCGCCTTCTCCTGGAGCGTGTGGGATGCGGCCCCTGCCGCCGCCCCGGGATCGCTCGGACAGGACGGCAGGGGCTCGGATGGTGGCGGGCAGGAGCGACCCGCGGCCGAGGCGGGGTGGTGCGGGGCGGGGACGAGAGGTAGAGAAAAGGGAAGGCGGCGGCCCGGCCGAGTTTTCAGACGGCCACTTCACCAAGACGGAGGGCAGAATTCAATTTCAACTGTCGCCTCAAGTTGCGGCGGCAGCGGAGGTCCCCGGGACGCCGTGCCCGCCCCTGGCGCGCCCGCCCGCACCGCCTCCTTGCAGGACCTGCTCGAGGACGTTGGGTGCTCCGCCCCGCCCCCTCCCCTGACGGCTGGGAAAGGCGGCACGCTTGTCACCAGAATGACCTCTCGTCGTAAGAAACGAAAAGAACCAGCCAGCGGGCTGCTGCTGGGGGTTGGCTGAGGGAGAGGAGTAATTTCAATGACGGAAAATGAAAGGAGAGAGAGAGGGGTTGGGGAGAGTTGAGGGGGAGAGAGGGAGAAGAGTAAGATAGTAGAGTGAGAGGAGCTGCGACGGGCCCGGACGGGCTGCCGCTCCTCCGCCATTTCCGAATGCTGATGACGTGGCGCTCATTGCATTCGTCTGAGGCACGGCGGCGGCCGCACCGCCGCACCCCTCTCCGGTCAGCCCCGCCCGGGCCGGGCCATGAATAAGTAGTAAGGGAGGGCGGGATGCAGCCGAGCGCCACTCGGACCGATATTGATTGGAGTGGAAACTGTCGTCTCAAGGAAGCGTTCCCTCGCATGTGCGCTGCGCGGTTTTCAACGCGCTGGAACAGAACTTTACAGCGCTAAAATGGTCTTCCACGCAGCCATTTAGAGCAGCGGCATTGGGCGCAAGCAAAAGGAGAAGGGGCAGTGGCAGCAGCAGCAAGGAGCAGCTGATTGAAAATAAACGACAGCAGCGCACTCCGGGGCCGGACCTGCCAGCCCCGCTCCCTGAGAGTGTTCTTCATTTACCTCCGAGGAGAACAGGGCGGTGGCGTGGCGGCGCCACCCTGATAGAGAGAAGCGCACCCCATGAATAGCAGCCAGGGGTACGGTGTGGAAGGCAGACGGGGAGAAAAATATATAAGAGAGCAGCCAAGGGGAGCGCGCTAGCGCCAGCGCCCGCCTCCGGGTATCCGAATGGCGTAATGATGCCGGTGGTAATGATCGTCGTCATTATCGCCAACGACGCCGTCGTTAAGCGGTCCCTCCCGGGCGGGCGGCCCGCCGTGTCCCGCGCCGTGGTGCACCCCGGGACCCCCGGGACCTTTCGCCCCCCGCATGCCGGCAGGCCGTCGTCGTGGCCGTCGTGGCCGCGGTGTGTGGTGTGTCACATTGTTGTGTCGAGTCGCGCGGCGCGGGGAATATTCTTCCCACGCTCGCGTCCTCGCGTCTCGCCGCCGCCGCCGCCGCGGCCATGCCCGCCCCCCGGCCCGCCCCCCGCAGCAGGAGCCCCCGCATCATGGCTCCCGGGTGGGCCCGGGGAGGACTACCCTTTGTCTCCTCCTCCATCCCCACGACCCCCACACAACCGCAGGCTGCGCAGGCTCCGCGGGGCCGTTTGTTCGGCTCGGTGCAGCGGCGGCGGCCTGCGGCCTCTCCTACACACGGCGGCCGAGGCCGGGGGGCGGGCGCATACATAATCCTTTGCCTCCCGGCCCCGGCCCGGCCCGGCCCTGCGCGGCGGCCTCTGCCAGCCTCTCATAACAAGGTTCCAACGGCTTCATTCAGCCCCTTACCTCCACGAGAGCGGCGGTGCGGCGGGCGAGAGAGGACCCCAAGCAGAGAGCGAGTCGACTGCCCGGAAATGTTGGACACGGCTGTTATTATCAACATCGTGTGCGAGTGCAATCCGCGTGAATGTGTGTGTGTGTGTGTGGGGAG